CTTGGTAAGGAGAGTGGCGTTAAGGGAGTGCCGACAACTGCTCCAGTGGACACCTCCTTTGCAACTTTAAAAGGAACTCGAACAGACTGATGTGGTAATGGTGCCACCTCTGCCAAATTAACAGGAGAATTCATTATGTACATGTTCATCATTATACTTCTATTTATTCCTATTTGATTGTCATCTACATTACAGGACAAAACCATGGTGAAGAATTCAACAGCTTAAGTTTCTAAATGTGCATCTTCCCATTTATAATCTTAAACTTTTTTAAATTACTCAGTAACAGAGTGAGGTCTTCGCTGGTGAGGCAGCATTTATTGCCCATCCCTAAATCGCCCAGAGGGCAGTTAAGAGTCAACCACATGGCTGTGGGCCTGGAGTCACATGTAGGCCAGACCAGGCAAGGATAGCAGTTTTGGACCCTAAAGGACATTAGTGAAATAAGAATGCATATTTTGCATTTTTGTTTCCAGTAGCTAGTAACTCAAGGAAACTACTTCTGTAGGTCATGTATTCAACATATTTTGCTTGTGACAGATTATCATTGTGGAATAAACTCTATTTTACTTCTGTCAAAGGAATGATGAATGTTTGGATTCGTTATACAGAAAACAAAAGAAAATGTTGGGCATCTAGAGTAATGATGCATACAGAGACTTCATGGTACAATCATTCTTGCTTATTAAACAATTTATTTACTGTTAAGTCAGAAACCTTAACTTGTTCTACAAATTCTGCATGTTGTTGGGTTATTTTCAGCAAAGTATTTCAAAGTCCCTTTAGTCAAAGTCAACATAGCATGAAATACCTTTAGAAACCTGTATGTTATGATTTTTTTCTTTATCATCATCAGATGCCGATGAAGATTCACATTTCCTTTTCACAGTGCTTGGAATATTGTAGCTGTCCAAATATCTGCAAAATACCAGAGGCAGAAATGAACTATGACACAGGAAGTAACAAGGATCATTTTAATTTATATTGGACTCCACGCTCCCATCTTTAAAACACAGTCTGTCAATACGATATAACTAGCCACAAAAAAAGTATGACAATAAGTCTGAGATTTCATAGAACTGCTTGATTGATGAAGGAACAACTATATTTTAAAAGGTTTTCAAGAAAGTCTTACAAGATACAAAATGTCAGTTGTCTCAGTGATAGTATTCTTGCCCAAACCAGAAAGTTATAGATACAAGTACGATTCCAACTCTTGAACGTAATCTACCCTTAGCTCTGAGGAATGCTGCATTGTCAGAGATGATGCCTTACAGAGAACACATTAAAAGAAATAAAATTACACAATGCTGGAAATATTCAGCAGGTCAGATAGCATCTGAGAAAAAGACACCAACAGATAGTGCCTGACCTATAAAGTACTTCCAGCATTGTGGGTTCTTATTTCCCGCACCTGCAGTGTTTCACTTTTATGTTAATGTTAAATGGAAGCCCAAAGAACACAGAAATTTTCCAGTTTCCTTGCTGGCAATTTATTTGTTAGCCAACGCCAACAAATCCAAACAACTGTTCATTCATCTTGCATCTTCCTTGGTGGAACCTTGCCAGGAGAAAATGGGGTACTGAACGTAATACATCCAATAGTCAACTGGAGAATAAGGATACTGAAAGTGCTAGTAAGTATCTTATACAAATTATCCTTAGTTTTACTTTGTATTCTCTTATGATTAAAAAAAAATACCGTTAACGATATGATTACTGTTGGGAAAGAAAGCATTTTTGGCAAGGTGTTTTTATTTCAAGTGAGATTCATGGCAACTGCTTTACCCCACAGCACATTGCAACTTTCCTCACACAATCTTCAGCTGTTCATCTCATGAATTGTGCAACCAGTCTCTTTGGCACCTGTCTCATGGAATCATGCAGATGGAGAGGGAAGTGCTCACTGCTGCCAGGACTTTGCAACATCCATACCACTGGCACCAATATTTAAACACCAGTCTCCCCAGCACTTCAGATGCTGCAAGGCAAGAACTGCACTTCACACAGTAGTCTTGTCCTGCTATACTGAAGGAAATGGCCAAGGAAAGGGAGTCAGACCAGAAACATCGAGATGCTGTTTGATTCGGTTTGGAAATGAGAGCAATGCTTTTTCCTAATAACTGGTAAGGAAGCCACATCCCTGGAGTCAGGCAGCTTAGATGGAGATACTGGTATTGGGGACATAAGACTCCTCAGCTTACCAGAAGATGTTGGATTTGGCAGAAGAGCACAACTGCTTATGTGGAGGCATGGAGACCTCAAGTAAGCTTAAGTAAGCTGTGCTGTGCTACCTTCCTGTTAACTCCAAAGCTCACTCATTCTTAAACTGAATAAGCTTATTACCCCGTTACACAACTATTTTCCTTTTTTTCTCTTATGTAGGTACAAATGGTAGCCAGTGAACCTCTGACCCAGAAATCTCAGCCCTACCTTCACCTCCGCCTCAGAGATGGTAGGCTTTCAATCTTCAGAATATGCAAAAGCAAGACTTTTACCTGTATCCTCCATCAGCTCAGGGACTTCCACCTCATTAACAATCTCTGTCTGGATTAGACATAGGAGTGAGCAACATAGTCTAGTGAGCAAATCACTGATCCATCTTCACTGCTTGTTAAGAAAGAAACACCCCATACCTCTACACTCAGAGGACTGCTGGAGTTCAAGCAACTGCTCAGCTCTAGGGAGAAGATGATACCGTGGACTCGGCCAGTAACTGCTTTGTCAAAATGCACAGACAGGCACAGGAACAGTGGCAGTTGAGTAAACTGGATCAAAGGAGACTACCAACTTTCAGTTCTATGCTGGCTCCAAATTGCATGCGTCTGGCTGCCCACCTCTATGGAGACCCAGATCCCTTGGGTCACATTTGCCAGATAAGCGCACAGACCTACTCTCCATTACTGCAGAGAGAGATGCTTAGCATCAATGACAAGGCTACAGAGGGATGAGGGACCTTAAACTCAAACTTCAAGGTGCCCCTTTCTCTCAGCGAGACAGTATGGTGTCAGTAGGCACTCCTTGGAAGGGAATCATATACAGCACCCCCAAGAAGCTTCCTCTCAGGATGCTCTAGGAGTTGCCCAGTCCACTACTCCCTGCCTCGGATGCTGAAGCCTGCCCCTTCCACTCTAGTTGTGGATGCTGGGTCTGCACAATGGCAAGGAAAAGAAGACAAAGCCTCTTCAGAAATCTTAAGGATTTGTCTTTGAGTGAAGATACCATTAGACTTCAATGATTCTTGAACTGTGACATTGCTGTCAGTTGGGGAGCACTCTGGTGCAAGTGATCATAATTCTACTAATTTTCAAAATAGTCATAGGAAAGGACAGAACTGATCAAAATGTTAAAGTTCTAAATTGGAATAAGGCCAATATCTCTGGAGCTATCATAGGAGTGCACTGTCATTCAAGGGTGGCAGATGTACAATGGACCGATCACACATCTGCGCTCCCTCACTGCACTATCTGCTGGGAAAAAAAACTGCACAAACTGCTGCCTCTTTCATGGTCACTGCTGTCCTACAGGACACTCAAGCATTTTAGGGCAACTTAGTTGTGTCTGCAAATTCTGAAACATTGAAGGCTAACCAATGATAGAAGGGACAAGAAGCAGTGTGTCAGGGTTGCTTTCAATCTGCTGCTCATCATGAGGCTGAACATCTGAAGGTTGCTGTTGGTCCCCCATTTTGACTGCATCAGGGCGTCCCCTCCTTTTTTTTTTTAAGTCCCCAGTCATGAAGGGAACAGTATGCTACAATGATGCAGGACCTTTCTGGGCATTACTGCAAGGTCCTGCCAGAGCAGTCCAGGTAAGGAATCTTAATCTTGAGGATGGCCTGGTCTCAAACGGTTCTGGCGGAGGTGTGGGTAACATTATGTTCTCATTCCGTATCAGTTGCAGGGTTTCATAAATGCGTCAGCAGCCATATTTGGACGTTTAGCCTTTATCTCATAGCACAAATGGCCTGAGGACCTTGGAAACTTAGAGTTCAACCAGAGGTATACATCATGGCAACTCCCAGAATACCTGGTACAGACATCCAAAATCTGGAATTGATGATCACAGATAAAATTGAACATTAATGGAGTGGAAACCATTTCTCTTGACAAACTCTGCAGGTTGGTGACAGGTGCTCTCAAAGCAGAAGCCATTAGATGTTTGTATTTTTGTTACAAATTTGTAATTGTTCTGTCCTTCTGTGCTGTTTACACCTGTGAAACGAGCCACATGGACTCCAGTCATAGCAATGTATACAACAGATGCATGAGTTGATAATCTGCAGGCAACGTCAGAAAGGTAACACCATTTCAATACTGGTGCTTCTGAGCCCTCACGTCAATCACAATGGAGTGTCATTTTATGCCCTGACAAAGTATGCCACTGAGGATTCCAGAAGACGCCAGTATCAAACCCCAGTAAAGGAGATCTGAAGTATGTAACCTCATCCAGATACAAGTCAAGAATCAAAGCGTTCACAAACCCATTTAAGTATAAATCCACTGTGATATCTGATAACTCCTTCCCCAAAAAGCCACCCTTGGTCAATGTGCAAATGTGGGAGTTCCAAAGCATTGTCTTCCAGTGTCAGGTATGAAAAGTGAAGCTCAAATGGCAAGCTCAGGTGAGACATTTAAATTATCATCCGAATAGATTTGCTTAGAAGTCTATTTGTGAGAATAATATATTGTCATGATTGCTTGATGGCTTGATTTTTAATGTTCAATGTTGGAAGAAGAATGACTTGCCAGTTAAGTGGAATTTGAAGCCAGATCGGTGACATTACTGAATCAGTGGATACATGATCAGTATAATTTTCTGGGCCTCAGAAAATTACACTCCATTCATAAAGAGCTGACTGGATTCAAGGCAGCAAGGTTTCAACTTCGGTGTCCTCGTGAGTGATTTCCAGACTCTACCGAACACGGTAAGGAAAAGCCAGGGAGCTACAGACCAGTGAGCACGACATTGGTGGTGGGCACGTTGTTGCAGGGAATCCTGAGGGACAGGATTATTATGTATCTGGAAAGGCAAGGACCGATTCGGGATAGTGGCTTTATGCATGGGAAATAGTTTCTCACTAACTTGATTGAGTTTTTTGAAGAAGTAACGAGGCGGACTGATGAGGTCAGAGCAATGGACGTGATCTATATGGACTTCAGTAAGGCATTCAAAAAGGTTCCTCATGGTAGACTGGTAAACAAAGTTAGATTACATGGAATACAGGGAGAACTAGCTACTTGGCTACAGAGCTGGCTCAAAAGGGAGAAGTCAGCGCTGGTGGTGGAGGGTTGCTTTTCAGGCTAGAGGCCTGTAACTAGCGGTGTGCCACAAGAATTGGTGCTGCGTCCACTGCTTTTTGTCATTTATAGAAATGATTTGCATGAGAACATAGCAGGTATGGTTAGTAACTTTGCAGATGACACTAAAATTGAAGGTGTAATGGACAACAGAAAAAAGTTTATCTCAGAGTACAACGAGATCTTGATCAGATGGGCAGATGTGTCAAGGAGCGACAGGTGAAGTTTAATTCAGATACATGTGAGGTGCTGCATTTTGTAAATACAAATCAGGGCAGGACTTATACACTTAATGGTAAGGTCCTGGGGAGTTTTGCTGAATAAAAAGAGTGCGGGTTCATAGTTCCTTGAAAGTGAAGTCGCAGGTAGATAGGATAGTGAAGATGGTGTTTGGCCTGCTTGCCTTTATTGGTCAGTGCACTGAGTAAAGGAGTTGGGAGGTCATGTTGCGGCTGTACAGGACATTGGTTAGGCCACTATTGGAATACAGCATGCAATTCTGGTCTCCCTTCTATAGGAAGAATATTGTGAAACTAGAAAGGATTCAGAAAGATTTACAAGGATGTTGCCAGGGTTCAAGGGTTTGAGCCATAGGGAGACGCTGAATAGGTTGGGGCTATTTTCCCTGCAGCATCAGGGGTTGAGGTGTGACTTTATAGAGGTTTATAAAATCATGAGTGGCATGGATAGGGTAAATAGGCATCTTTTCCCCGGGGTAGGGGGGGGTCCAAAACTAGAGGGCATAGATTTAGGGTGAGAAGGGAAAGATATAAGAGGGACCTAAGGGACAACTTTTTCACACAGAGGGTGGTGCGTGTATGGAATGAACTGCCAGACAAAGTGGTGGAAGCTGGTATAGCCACAACATTTAAAAGGCATCTGGATGGGTACATGAATGGGAAGGATTTAAGAGGGAAATGAGCCAAATGGGACTAGATTTATATCAGATATCTGGTCGGCATGGACGAGTTGGACCCAAGGGTCAGTTTTCATGCTGTACATCTCCACGGGCCTATGATCTGAGATACACAATTCCTTCCTGATGCCTTCTTTGTTGCTATCTCAGTGTCCCCAATATCCTTTCAGCCTCCTCATTTCTGATCACCCCCTTCATAAAACTGATTTAAGGTTCTAGTTTATCCCCCTAGCTCATGGCTTTGTGAACTGCCACGCCTTCATTGCCTGTAACTCTCCTCAAGCAGAGGCCAGAGTGATTGTAACATTTGAAACATCTAGCTCCTGAAGCTTCCTGTCCCTGTGAGATCACACCTTTCTATCTTTCACTATATTCATTCCCTCAGCTACCCAGCTGAATGAACCCCACCTCAAAACATGAGCTTTACACTTTCCCTAGGCATCCATGGGCTGCTCCTCCGAGAGGCCTCCTGGACTATTAATGCCCAAACCCGCTGCATGGCAGTGTGGCTCTGATTGATCATGGTCCAAACCCTGGATCAAAGTCTCCACAACAGCCTGATGACTCAACACCAATTCTAGAATAGTTTGCACTTGGCCTGCAGGACTGACCTACATGCAACCCTGGACTCCGGTAGATCTAACACTTGATCAATAATGGCCAACCCTGTAGACTGGAATTGTCCCAAGTCCCTTGATCAACAGTAGCAGCACTCGCTGACTGGCCAAAGTCCTGCTCCCCTTTTACCACCTGTTTGAAGCATATGTTGTGTATTTGTCATATAAGCTGCTGGCACATACTGCATGGTGCCACATAGTGGCATGTCCAACCCTTGACTATTCAGTGTTTCACTTTGTGATAAGCTGCCTGCCTCTTCATCCACACTAAAAAAACAATGCAAGCCACAGAGGATGACAGTCAGCAACTTTGCACTGAAGAGCCTACGTGCTGAAAAACACGCAAGCCACAGAACCTCCAAGTAAGTGCAAAGCAAGTGAGCATTAAAAATGGAAGTCAGGAGTCCTAAAAATGCATCTTGTTTAGATGTATGAAATGCATGGGTCCCTACACACACAGCAACCTGGCAGAAACACTTAAGTCAGTCATAATTGACCTGGAGTTCAAAGTGAAGTTCTGAAGGGTTGAAATGGAGTGAGAGTTAGTCCAGAAGCAGGCATGATAACATGGTGTGGCTGGTGGTTTGCTGATGTCAACTTGCATGGACAAAGGGTGCTGGAGAGTGCAATTCATTGAATATGCAGCAACATTGTGGCAGAGGCAAAGTTGGAAGAAGGCCTGTCAAAGCAAACGATGAGCTGCTGCTGCTGCCAGGTAAATCTCTAACCTTCATATAAGGAATTTCTCAGGGAAGGAGAGAACTGGAAGCTGCATAGAAATGGAGAGAGTTCAGTTAATAAAAAGATGCAAATACATGGAAATAATGTAGCCACCACTCATTACCAAGATTCTGACTTTGACATTTAAGGTGAAAATCAGACAAACCTTTCTTGACTTTGATGTTCTGATTTTTCTATTTTCACCATATTTTGTCAACTTCTTTCCTACTGGCCACACCATTCAAGGGAGCAGAAGACCTACCCATTGAAAAGTTGACCCATAACACATTACAGCAAGACACGTTTTTCTTTTAAAACATTAGGACAGTATGATTATAATGAAATTAAACCACATCATCAACAGATTTTTAAAATATTCTTCTGTCAGTAATACTCTAGGAAATAAAATTACTTTATGTTTGTGGTACCATTAGTGATTTGTCATTTAATGACGAGCAGGATTTGTTACTGCATTTCTCTGCAACTTGCACGACATAGGTTTGTTTGACTTGGCCATATCTAACAGTGTGTTTCTTCAAGGCACACAAATCAGCTACAATAGCCCTCCAAAATAGGAACAATGACCTGTGTAACTGTGGGAGCAAAAGCAGGGTTTCACTCACCTTATTACACTGTCCAAGCAGTTGATTTGCTGATAACAATATACTGGCTGTTCCTTGCATCTTGAATCATCCAACAGCATGTTTTTTATGGCATTGCTGGGTGCAGCAACCTTGGATGAACTGGCTTTAAAGTCCTTGTTCTGGCCACTAGTTTCTTTCTGTTGTGTTACTGCAAAATATATGTACTTCTAGAATTAGAACAAGCGATTTCCAACATGGAGTTTAAAATAGCCTCAGAGTCATTGATCTAGAACTGATCATCGTCCTGGAAATTGGAACTTAACATAACTGGGTTTAGTTTCAGCAAAATATTGAAAGGAAAAGGAAAGAAACAAAAGCCATATGAGTTTCTAGGGATTTAAGAAATTTTAAACAAATGAGTTAACAAGTATGAGATAAATCTCTTTATGCTTCTGCAAGATACAACATGCACATAAATTATGTTTGAAGATGCTCATTAGCACTTCCACGGTGCAGTCGATATGTGATATACGAATATTTGCAATTTTCCCAAGTATGAACACCAGAGCCAGGAACAAGAGCTGGTCATTGGCTCCCTCAAGTCTGCTGCACCATTCAATAAGATCATGGTTGATCTGACTGACCTCAACACACTTTCTGGGGTAACCCTCATATCCTGTGACTCCCTTTCTTGTGAAGAATCATGCTTCAGGCAGGCATAGTTCAGCGCACATCGTTTCAAAACAACAAAAAGCCAAGTAATTCCTTAGTTCACAAATTGAGGCTTTTAGATTATGGAAATGTATGTTACAAAGAACAGATTACGACTTGTATTGGGCTTTGATAATCAGGTTGTTAACTATCTTTCAGTACCTTAACATACTGACCATTAGTCAAGCTTAATCAGCGAATAATGGCAGACTATTCAACCATCACACATAGTGGAGGATTGACCAGAAGACCATTAGGTCATTCAGCCCATTGAGTCTGCTCTGCCATTCGATCATTGCTGATATGTTTCTCAAACCCATTCTCCTGCGTTCTCCCAGTAACCTTTTATTATTGTTTAGTAACCTAATCAAGAACCTATCTTTCTGTTTTAAAGACGCTCAACGAATTGGCCTTAGCAGCCTTCTGCAAGAATGTGTTCCACAGATTCATCACCTTCTGGCTGAAGAAATTCCCCCTCATCTCAGTTCTAAAGAGTCATCCCTTTTCTCTTAGGCTGCGCCCTCTGGTCCTTGTTTCTCCTACTTGTGGAAGCAGCTTCTCTACATCCTCTCTATCCAGGTCTCTCAGTATTCTGTAAGTCTCTCAGTATTCTGTTAAGTTTCAATGAGATTCCACCCCCACCCTTATCCTTCTACACTCCATCAACTACAGACGCAGAGTCCCCACCTGCTTCTCACATGACAAACAAAATAAAAAAAGAGATATCAACAAAAGCTGGAAGTGAACCCACGACATATTAGCCGCTGTCAAACCTGCAACATTGCAAAGCCACCTTTCTGACCACTACGCTATCACACCCTGTGACAGAGATTAAGATGCATAGTTAGAATTTGAAAATGTTCTGCTTTTAAATAATTTTGAGAGATCTGGCTAAGATTCTATTAACAGTATGTGCATTCAGAGGTCACGACATGCACCTACTTTTGAAATAGCACTCATGTTTTCACAGATTTTGAGAACTTGCACAATAATGTTTTTTTTTATTTTTGTTGTGGAAACATGTTGAGAGGTGAGGAGAAATCGGAAATCATTTTACAGGTTTTAAAATAAAAATTCAGATGATATAACTTCCTCTTTAAAATGACTGCCTTTCAAATATGTAACATGAAAATGTAGTCCCTCACGTTGCCAATTATTCTTCCTTCCTCCCATTCATGCTGTGTTGTTACAGAATCAAATGACAGGAAATGAATGTTTATGCACAAGGAATATACACTACACTGAGGTAGGACTATATTTGTGGAGCATATGAAAATAAACTGCAGTTTTTAAGTTGTTGCTTTTACTGTGACTTTACAAGTGATCCTCAAACTATTGTAACCCTTCTGCAGAAAAACTTCACCCTGTGTAAACCGCTACCATTATTACTAGAAATGAATAGCTACACTCATAACAGCTGTGTTTGAACTCAACACATGTAAAGTCAAGAAAGTCAAAATTATTTCAAGCCAATTAATCACGCAGGTCTAGATAATGAAAGAAAATTAATTAAGCCTATTACCGCTTTTGTGTCTGCGTTTTGATTCACTCTTTCCTCTGTTCTCAATGAACATTGCTTGTCCTTGATTTTTGACCAAATGCACATCCTTACAAATCTTCTGAAACGTCATCTGAAAGAAATAAATGATTGAAGACTAAAATTTTACAAAATGTTTTATCTAACTGCCAAAATTTGTTGAGATGTGACAAAACCAAACAGAGAATGAGACAAAAGGCTTTTCAAAATTTAGCAAACTGCGAACTCAAAAGGAAAGCTTTGATGGCATACAGTCATTAAATCACTCTTAATTATTTCATATTATTTGAATTTAACTGGCTGATATTTTTAACTGGAATATTGATCAGTAGAGCCAAGAATGAACTACTGTGCCAGAAGGTTGAGAGTTCCAGTTGCACTCCAAAAATGTACACAACAATAGAATATAGAATCTACATGTAGTACTAAGGGTGTGCTTAATTGTCATAGGTGCTGATTCACAAGTTTTTTTTAAGACTATCCACATCGCAATCAGACATTAGAGTTTTTCAGAGTTTCATCCAAACATTTCCATTGTCACTTAAATCTTCATTGAATTAACTAGTTTTCAGTGCTATGTGCTTAAAGTACAGAAGTTCATGGCTTGCAAATGGATGTATCTTTTTTTAAATGACTAAGTATTTACAATCTATTAGTAACTAATTAATTCCCACAAAAATAGGGTTAAACAATAAGAACTTATAATTAAAAGACCAAAGTTTGCACAAGTGGTGTAAGTGAGGAATAAGATACAACACATTTACATGGAAGTTCTTCTTCAAGATTGTTCACAATTGCATGGGAAATTGTATCAGGCAAATTTGATTGAGTTTTTTGAGGGCGAGACCAAGAAGATAGTTGGGGTCAGAATGGTTGACATTGTCTAAATGGACTTTAGCAAGGCCTTTGACAAGGTTCTACATGGTAGACTGGTTAGTAAAATTAGATCATATAGGATTCAGGGAGAGCTTGCCAACTGGATACAAAATTAGCTTGACAGTAGAGACAGAGGGTGGTGGTGGAGGATTGTTTTTTGGACTGGAAGCCTATGACCAGCTGTGTTCTGCAGGGATAGGTGGCGGGTTCCCCAGTGTTTGTCATTTATATAAATGATTCGGATGATAATATAGGAAGCACAGTTAATATGTTTGTGGATGACACCAAGATTGGTGGTCTAGTAGACAGGGAAGGTTATTTAAGAATACAAAGGGATCTTCATCAATTGGGTCTATGGACCGAGGAGTGGCAGATGGAGTTAAATTTAGAGAAATGCGAGGTGTTGCATTTTGGTAAGACAAACAAGGGCAGGGCTTATACAGTTAATGGTAGGGCCCCTGGGGAGTGTTGTCGAACAGACAGACTGAAGGGTTCAGGTGCATAGTTTCTTGAAAAAGTTACATCACAGGTTTACAGGGTGGTAAAGAAGGCATTTGGCATGTTTGCCTTCATTGCTCAGACCATTCAGTATAAGAGTTGAAATATTGTACAGGATGTTGGTAGGTCACTTTTGGCGTACTGTGTACAGTTCTGGTTGCCCTTCTATAGGAAGGATATTTTTAAACTTGAGAGGGTGCAGAAAAGATTTACAAGGATGTTGTTTGGACTGCAGGCTCTGAGTTATAAGGAGAGGCTGGATAGGCTGGGACTTTATTCCACTGAAGCACAGGAGGTTGATGGGTGATCTTATTGGGATTTATCAAATTATGATGGGCATAGATAAGACGAATAGCAAAGGTCTTTTCCCTAGGGTAGGGGAGTTCAAAACTGGAGGGCATAATTTTAAGGCGAGAGGAGAAACATCTAAAAGGGACCTGAGCAGCAACTTTTTCTCACAGAGGGTGGTTTGTATGTGGAAGGAATTGCCAGAGAAAGTGGTAGATGTGGGTATAATTACAACATTTAAGACATTTGGACAGGTACATGGATAGGAAAGGTTTAGAAGGATATGGGCCAAACACAGGCAAAAGCGACTAGTTTAGGTTTGTAAAACTGGTCAGCATGGATGAGTGGAACAGATGTCTATTTCTGTGTTGTATATCTTATTGATTCCATGACTGTAAATCATAAAGTTCTGATCTGGTCCCAAACCACAGCTAAATTAGCAATCTCAGCTAGGTAGTAACACTCTCTCAATTAGCTTCAAATGAATTGCAGCAAGAGGAGCTATGAGTGGGAGAGCTGGTAGCAAAGTGGCGAGGAGGGAAACCACAGTTGGTGGAGAAGTGGCAAGCAAGCAGATTGGACAGCAGGAGGGAATTGCAAGCAGGCCTCAGGAAAATCAAGTGTAGGCTGCAACATGAACATCATTGGAATAGATATTCCTTACAAAACAAAACTGCAGCATTTTAATAAGAAGTCACTATTTTTTCAAAAGCAATCAAACGGCACTCCTTACCCTAAACCTGAAATGGTGCCAATTGCATCACATATTGCTAAATTGGTAGCCCTTATGCTAAATATGTAGACTGGCTCCATTACATCCACAATGTTAAGTCAGAGCAACACTGAATATGGTAACTTAAAATGAGGACTTACTTAAAAGTTGAAATAAACCCAATTAAAGTCACAGGGATAGACACGCAATGTCACCTAAGTGAACTGGCCCAACATCAATTTGTATTAAAGTCAATAGGTTATAACACAACAAACTTACAGGTCTGTTCCAGTGGCTCTCATCCTTGATGTTACCACTGCTATCGCTGGAAGAGGCTACACTCACGAACTGTGCGTGGGATCCATTACTTCCCAAACTTCCATACCCACTGGAACCATTATTGTAAACTGGCTAAAATGGAAAAGACATAAGTTTTAATAGGCAATGTACTAACCAAGGACAAATTATGTTTAAATTAGAATACACAATGAATAATGTGAAATAGCTTTACCTGTAGCAACAGCTGACGAATTTGCTCAGTGATAGTCTGTATTTCAGGATTGAGTGTCTTTGCTTCAGTAATTCCTGGACTAGCAAATACATCTTCATTCAAAGGTCCCCTACAAATATTGGAGGTTAAGTGGAGATTTTATACAGTGAATACTTTTTTCGATACAATTACAAACACTTGTGAATTTCTAATACGTTATTTTGAATTTTTAACATTTTGGTTATTTTGTCATCATTTTATAGTTCAGAATTCAAAGATACATCACTGCTAATTTGGTCTCATGGACGGAGGACAGCAACTCTGGTCAGAGCAACAGGGATTAGAGACAGCAATCAAGATGATTTTGGTTCCTAACCCTAATCCCAAAAGGATAGAACCTGGATCAAGCATACAAACTATACTCCAAAGAAATTCATTCATATTAGAGTTAGATAATCAATGTTTTTTTTAAACTAACAGTTAAAGTACTTGAAATTTTCATTCTGGGCCTTCTGGAAATTGATGAAATTTCCTTTCATAGTGTCTCATCTCCCATCACACCTATCTACACTTTAGAATTTCTGCAAACTGTGGAGCATGTGACCAACATACATGTGTTATGACTTGCTAATGACCGAGCTGTAAACAACAGAGGTTGAGAAGGAGTATTTTTACATTGAAATGGGATACGCAAAAAAAGAACGCTGGCTACCAAATTACTTTCAGCAGCATTGTACTTTGGGCACTATGGATGCTGCTTTGGTACCAAAATGGCATTCACACTGGGGCACAAACCTTCAGCCCAAGCCCACACCAAATGCTACATTGGTAAAGGAATCAAAAGCATGCCCACGAGATACAGATTAGGCAGATGATGATGTATTGTTGATTTTACGCCAGTACGGCCAAATTTGAGCTTGTTATTCCAGTTGACGTTCTCTCAGACATGCACAGTTGAACAGCTGTTCAGCAGCAGGAAGGACTCACCCACTAGGGCTGTCTAAAAGTGATTACCAGTTATTATGAGGTTAGCCACTGATTAATCTCTGCTGGCTCAGTTTGAGCTTGTGCAACTGCTTGGTGCTTTGAAGAACTGGATAAAGTTGAAGTCAATCAGAAGTGGTTCCTGACATGGAGAATACCTTCTCTGACTCTTACAGTTCTGGTCAGATCACTTTCTCCCATTCATAAATGCTACAGTTGCATTTCCCCTTAAGCTGCAATATGAGAGGAAAAGAGAACAAAGGCAGCAAAAAAAAAAGGAATGTGAATGAATACTCAGCAGGAGGTTTTATCTACCATGAGTCCTCCAGGAGCATTCTCTTGGCTCCATTTAAATCAGGAGCAAATGTTGTCTTATCTACACTTTATGATGGAATTTCCCACATAACCTGCAACATCATAACAGGGCTAGTTGTTGTAAGAAGGTGATTATGCTCCTGAGTTCAATGCCTTTCTCCTGCAAAAAGACGATAGATGCACTTTATGCAAGAAAAGTGGCGTTTATTGTGTTCTCTGTGAACACAGAAAAGCAAACGGTGTGCACACGGCTTTGTAAAGGTGATGGGACTTCCCCAGGATGCTAACGAGTGTGACATCTAAAATGTGGAGAAGTACTGCAACTAAAATCATTCGCTGAATGTGCAATTAAGGTGAAACCATTTATGAAGGGAATGCTCAGTGGGTGACAACAGTCATAATGCTTTCATTCAGTCGCTTAGCTACCACCACAAATCAAACAGTGTTTCCTAGGCTACAAGGGAAATCTTTAAATGTGGCTCATGACTATACATCAAAACCTATCCCACACATGGTCAGCATATGTATAAAGGAAAGCCATGCTGCCATTCAAACATCAGAGCAAACCACTGGGACTCTAAAATAAAGAAAAAAAAAACAAAGAACTGTGGATGCTGGAAATTAGAAATAAAAACAAACAGAAAAATTGCTAGAAATAGTTAGCATGTCAGGCAACATCTGTGGAGAGAAAGCAGAGGGTTGACATTTTGGATCCAGTGACCCTTTTTCAGAACAGGACTATAAAGTAACTACCCCTCTGACTGGACCACTCTGGAGAAGCTCACTGGAGTTTATGTTCTGATGCATTCTCAACAATGTTGCCATGGTATGGGCACAGTACTGGTCAATAGGAATAAGACAAAAATCTCAAGAGAAGCAGCAACTGACACACCCCTTTTCTAATTAGGCTGTCTTTGATTGCTCATTCAACAACAATTTTAGAAAACGCAACCCATTAGTACAATTCCATATCCTATGATACCTCTGCTATGGACCATCCTGGTGTCATCTTGGTCACAATGCTGAAATAAAAGCCACAAAAAAAATGATTCTATATCCACTTTTTCCAACAAATCACACTCTGCATTACCTCGGTGTTCAGCTTGGAGATGCCTCTGCTTGGCCAAGTGGTCCTTTGAAGGATCACCCCAGTTCCTGCAGCATGACAAGAGGAGGAGTACTGACCTTCAGTGAAGGAAACTGTGAATGGCCTTGCAAGAGCTCAGGTCACATAAGTGACCAAGTTCTGAGCTGCAGCATTTTAGCATGGGTGATAGCCGTCAGGACTGACTAGCTAACAGGCACAGCTGAGACACTGGGAGAAGCAGCAGTGATGAGTGGCTGCGTGCTGTCTCTTTACAAAAAGGCAGCACATTTGTGCACCATGGAGCTATAATCTATTCTATGGGGAAATTAATTCAGTACTTCTCATAACCTTTGGAAGCACAGATTGACTGGCTGCAATGATTGTCAGCACCATCTCCTCCACTGAGCTTTTTTCTAATTTTTCATGCAATATGGGAGTCAGTGGCTATGCCAACATTTAGTGACATCCCTAATTGCCTAGAGGGCGGTTCAGAGTCAACCACATTACGATGGGCCTCCAGTCACATGTAGGCCAGACAAGGTAAGGAGGCAAGTTTCCTTCCCTATAAGGATGTGAGTGAACTAGACTTTGTTTTGTATGACAATCAATATGGTCACAATTAGGCTAGTTTTAATGCCACACTTTTTTTCAATTGAATTCAAATTTTATCATCTACCATGGTGGACTTTGAACCCATGTCCCCAGAACATTAACCTGGGTTCTGGTCCAATGTCCAGTATACTAGTACTGGTCCAGTGGCAATATCACTATGCCACCATCTTCGCCACCTTGGAGTTTGGAGAGAGGGTGTTTGACGGAAGAGAACTGGGCTGACTTACAGCTATACATGTCCCCAGTCGTTAGGTACCACCATAGTTTATGGACCAACACCTCCTGCAAGATAGGGCAATCTGTTAGTGGAGTGATACAATGCATTTTGGCCATGTGCCTGTCATAACTGATCAGCTGACAGTATCAAAAAGTTGGGAGAGAAGAGCCAAGTCAGTTTGATTGCATTGAAGCTAATAAACGTGAGGTATGATAGAGAAGGTTGATAGAAATTGTTAACAGGTAAATGAAGGGGATTTGGTGAATGGAGCAACGCATAGGCTTGTAGAGCAGTTAGTAGGACATGGAACGTGAAGATGCATGTGGGTCCCAGCTAATATCATTAACCACAATGGTTATCATCAACTCCAAATCCTTCATAATATCAATCCTGATGGTATCGTGACCTCCTGTTGATTGAAGACCTCTCTGCTGTGGTTAACCCCCGATGCTGCAGAGGAGAACTGTGGAGCATGTTATAAACCTGTTATACCATTTCACTCTTCTGCATTCTTAGAGATTCTTTGTGAACCAGTTCCAGCAGGTAAACCAGCTTGAAAAGCACATTACTGTTGATGAAGGTTGGCTTGATGAAATGCACTTGATGCTTTAAGTGCATCTAGCCTTACGTGAACTTGGACCTCTTCCTGAGGCATGGAGCAACTCTACAGCATGTTTGGTATTGGGTGCACCCATGATCAACTAAATTAACAGGTTGCGCAATGTTTGCATGCTGCCTGCACTATTTTGAATAGGCATAGGTTTTTAGTGCATTATAATTCCTGTGGCTGATTACTGGTCATATCCAGTTTTGTTTTTAATCCTCAGATTCAATTTAACGTTTTTTAAAAATCATGGCCAAATTTCAAGTCCAATCAAACCAACAATTTTCACAAAAATATTACTTACGTTCTGACTTTGTGCCTTCCAATTATGAAGGACACTTTTCTGCTCCATGGATTAACAAAGCTTGACCAACTGGTATCAATGGTGATGTATTCACCATTCTGACAGCAGAATCGGACAGGTGAATGTTCAAATGGTTGCCCAGCATGTTTCAATACTGAAATTTAAGGAAAGCCATGTTTAAAATTTAAAAAAAAAATCTTTATTTGGTAACTCAATAATGACAATCCAATAAGTACTCAAACTATAATGCACAAAACACGGAACAATTGTTTTCTATTGCAGCATTAAAGATGCCATGAATTCAGCAAGTCAATTTTTAAACGAACCTACTACCTTCTTCAACAATTATTTTAAAATTGCCATTAAAAAAGAGGCACAAATGGCTAATGAAGATTTAACAGTCTCTTTACAAGCTGCACAAATGTAAAGACTATAATGGAGAATTTTATCAGGTTACCCATCCCTTTCTTCTAAAATAGCGAATTTATGATCGCTCATATGATCAGGAATAGCAACAACAGAACGTTCAGGTCTCGGAGTTTCTTCTACCCATTAACAGGTTATGGCTGATGATCTGAAGCAAAATATCAACTGGAATTTTACTTCATTACATTTCAATGCATCTCCTTTAGAAATTCAAGTTATCAATTCTCACAATTCGAAGGATTGGCATTTCTGCTCGCAGCATATCGGTGAGGTGCTTGGAAACTATATGGTAGTCATATATTGAATCAGAAAGAAGGGACATGGTGAATGGAACAATTGTTCTTCATGAGCAAAAAAAGAAGTTGCTGGCAAAGCTCAGCAGGTTTGACAGCATCTGTGGAGAAAAATCAGAGTTAACTTTCGGGTCTGGTGACCCTTCCTCAGCACTTAACTCTGATTTTTTTTCACTGATGCTGCCGGACCTGCTGAGCTTTTCCAGCAACTTCTGCTTTTGTTCCTGATTTACAGCATCTGCAGTTCATTCAATTTTTATTAAATCTTTCTTCACGTTTCTTTGTGGAGACAGATGCTTCCAGAAGTAATACAACTTCCAGCTTCTAGCTGCAACAAGCCATAATGACATTAGCATGAATAACAAGTCATCACCACTCCTTCCAAAACAGGAAGGAGTTACCTAACGCAACTCGCTGGCCATTTCTAGGAAGGGGATGGACACCCTCAGCTGAGATAAGAAGAACATGAAAAGTAGTTTGTCTACCTCAAGGTAGTTTAATTTGGCATTTTCATCCTTTGTTTATACAAACATACAGTGCTGTTGTGAATACTCTAACTACTTCAGTTTTTCTTCATCCCCAGAAAAAAGATCAAAATCTAGCCAAATTAAAATAAAATAACAACGTGGCTCACGCCACAGTAGGCATTGATGATTTTTTCCTTAGGAAGCACTGTTGACATCCATAGCACAGAGTTAAACCAAGCTAGAGAAAAGTCACATTGGTCATTATAAAAGAGATAGCATCAACAAACTTACTTTTCTTATGAATGCCTAGCATCAAATGTTGATCATCTGGATGCAGATGCATCAGCACAGGCATTCCAATGAGGTCCTGAGGCAAGTAACCCAACAAAGGAACAGCCCTTTGAAAGAAAAATGGAACTTTCTGATGTTCTGCAACAAGACACATCTACAATATTCTTAAACTTTCAAGTCCTTGCTTTGCTGCAAAAATAAATGAACGAAAAGCACAAAAGCCAGACAGACAGAACTGTAATCAAGAATATATAAAAAGTGTAGATTGAAACAAATGAAGCATAAATTTGGTTTCCGTGCCCACATTTTGTGTTCCCTAATTGGGATAGTATACACCTCATTTTCTTTCCTTCAAAATATATTCACCACCTCCTTGCCCTTCATGATGTACTTTGTCACAAAACTTAAATTAGGAACATTCAACGTAGCTTAAAAGGAGAGGAATTTGGGGGAAACGATTAAATAAACTTTTCTTTGGAAATGATAGATAGTTACATCTAAATTATTCAAAGCTATACAGTTTTTATTAAAAATGCAAACACCCCAGATACACCATTTGGTCTATGGGAGGCATCACAAACTGCATACAAAAGTTTTCACAGCGTACTTGGCAGGAGACCTACTTATTGGGAACTACATTTCACAGTCTAGTGGGACTTAAAAAATTTGGAACTTTCAGTTCTAACAAAAAAGCACCAGCCTTTCAAGCTGCTCTGAATATTTTTTTTCTCATGCATATTGATTAGAAAACTCATACCTCTCATCAACATCCTGGAAAACGCAGCTGGGTGTGTGTGTCGTGGTAAAAACTCTCTTGTCATGAGGAATTCTTGGTGCTGAAAATAAGTTACTTCTTTAATGAGATTGGCAGATGTAAAAAAGACATTGTAATATTAAAATAATTTTTCTACTTTAAAGTCCACTTGGCTAAATTAGCCTGGTGTCAGAACTCTATGACTCTTAACTGCTTCCTATGGCATTATGGAATTAAAGTCTTTTAAAAAGCAAAATGCTTAATCCAGCAATTCACATGTCCATGGTTTTACACAAATACTTGTAAGGTATGTTTAACAGACATTTCAATGGAGCATCTGTATAAAATAACTTTGTACAAAACAACTTTAAATCTAAAATAATAACTTTCCATTTATACTGAACTGACAATAATCACAAATTACAGAATGTTACACATCAGTTTTTGACAGAATATGGTTTTCTACACTGCTGATCAATAACAGGTAAGTTTTCACTACACAGTCCTGTTAATATGGAACTGTGTGACATTGAAAATGTTTTACATCCTAGACTCTGCATACTGACTGTACTTAGACAAAAGAAAAACTACTGAATTTTACTCAGGTATGTCAAAGCAAAACTTCAACAAATTAAAAAGATATTGGTAGCTTCACTCAACTCCACTGACCTGCTTTTCAGCCAATCCCATTTTCCCATAAGATCTCACAGGACGTCCAGCTATTTCAGATTGCTGCACATATCTACACTATATGTAAAAGTGATCTGACTTGGAGTTCTGTGGAATTTCCCCAACAAACCCCTCCATCCTGTTACTCTACAATTTCTGGTCAATGTAGGAGTCAGAACAGTCAGCACAAATCTTGCATGTCAAGAGGTTTGCTGGAAGGAAAGTGATGGTCCCAGCAGCGTTTCAATAAGAGTCATTTAAAAGTGGCTTTATTCATCAATTAAGGTACTAATGATGCGAGTAGGAATGTAGCAGACCTGGCCAAGAGCAGCTAATTTAATTCAATATTAGCATTCCTGGGGACTTTAACATATTAGAGGCCCCACTGTAGATGCACTTACGGAGATGGTTTTCCACCTCAATCTGCATACTTGTTAGCAAGGTGATGAATATTCAAATTCAACATGATATACAGCTAGCAACAAGCTAATGAGTATAAAAATATTAAAAAAAGGTACAGTCATCAAAGTCAGACCAGACTATATAGCTGCTCTTTCATTATACAGACACATATGGTGGTAGTTTAACCCAAGGGTCACCACGCCTCAGGTGAGGGGAGAGACTGAGGAGGACAGTCCCTCATGGTAACCTCAGCCGGTGTGGGAATATTACTGGTTAGGTCAGTTGGCTGGATGGCTGGGAGGAAGTTGGGGAGAGATCCAGTGGTTCTTACTGAAGTTCATCCCGAGCAGCTCCATGATGCAGGACTCTACGCTCTACGATCTGCGATCTGTTCCCGGGTTCACACACCGAGACAAGCATCCACTGCACATGAAGGACCATCAACTCAGTAGATGTTACCCTTTGATCTGCCCAAAACTTGTTGGTCTTCCAGAGCAAGGGGTTGACCTTGACCGAGTGTTGCAGACTGGCACATTCCAAGGTCCAGGGCTACGTGCTGGGGGACGCACTAAAACCTGGGGCAGCTGTCGCCAAGTTGCAGTGGGGCAAGACCACCATCTAAGATCTTCTGGCCGAAGTACAATGGAGGTCCATTCAGTTATCGGACCCTCCTGGTGCCTCAAATATACAGAAATAGTATCTTGCATAAGTAAGAAATGCCTTTGCGTTTGTTAGAAGTGTCGGGAAATTCAAACTTCAATGTTTGTTTGTTTGTTCTCCATTTGCAAAGACTGTACAGAACCGAAATGCTTTTGAGACTATATATGAATATAAAAATGTTTGATGAATAAAGTGTATTTTTGACATAAAAGCTGGATGGCTGGTTTGAAATGCTAATGAATGTAGATATACTTAGAGCTAAACAAATGGTCAAATGTAATATGCTGAGAATGCCTTATACGCTTAGTTATGCATAACCCATATGAAAAGTAATTGGTCCAAATTGAGCATAATAATTTGTAAAACGTAAACTGTTCTCCTCTAAACTAGTCACTTATCTCAGGAAATTAATGAGGATGGGGGAATCTGGCTCAGTGAGTTGAAGGAACCTTTCTCTTTTTATGTCCTGCCTGTGTACAGCATGTTATACAGAATCAGAAGTACTTACCTTCGTAGCCTGAGTGCACTCTCTCAGCAAGTAATAGACAGCAGAGTTGGTCATCATCATCTTCAGATACCCGCACCTTCGTGAGATAAGTCGTCATACGAAAGGGATAGTAATGGATGCCGTGATCTCGCTGTCGATCTCCACTGTGAAACAAATGCCAGCATAAATATGAAGTAGGCAACCAATACAAAATGTAATAAAAAGCAAGAAATTTGTCAATGCTTTAACATATCCTTTACTTGTAGCTAAGACATGAGTGGCAGATGTTTTACACAGAGAGTGGTTTGCATGTGAAATGAACTTCCTGAGGAACTGGTGGATGTAGGTGCGATTACAATGTTTAAAAGACATTTGGATAAGTACATGAATAGGAAAGGTTTGGAGGGGTATGGGCCAGGACCAGGCAGGTGGGACTAGTTTAGATTAGGATTATGTCTGGTATGGACTGGTTGGACCGAAGGGTCTGTTTCTATGCTGTATGACCTATAACTCTATGTAACATCTGCAGGGTTATCTGTAGTGAACTATGCATTGACAGTGAATTTGATGTATTATGTCAGGCACATTTCCAGTGTGGTTATTGTCATGTAATGTGATACATAAACAGTATGGGACATGTTGGGCAAAAGCAAGCTTTAGAACCAAATTATAACCAGATTAGTGAGACACATTAAAAAAAAAAGGGGACCCAAAGCCCCAGAGCAATACCATCCCCACAAACCTCTATGTTTATACTTATGCATAACAAGGGGTAAAATAAAGATATTAAACAAAGCTCAAGTTGTTTGCAATCTTAACTCCAAAAGATTGGCCTTTCAATTTTCACTCCAATTCTACTGTATGTAGTACAACATAAATACTAATAAAAACAACATAACTAGCAGTTTTATTTAATTTACGATGACATTGCACGGCTGTCTAGCTACAAGTCATTATTGAACAATATCACTAGCCAAATATTGTCTCTGCACAGACAACTACAACACTGGCATTCACCCAGCGATGTGGAACATTGCCCAGGTAAAACCTGTTTACAATAAAAAAGGACAAATCTGATCAGGATACAGCCACCCATTTATTTTCGATCATCAGTACAGGAACTGAATATGTCATTTGACAGTGATATAAAAGACATTTGCTCAACAACATGGTTCTGCCAGGATCACTCAAATCCAGACCTCATTATACAGCCTTGATCCAAACATGCATCGAAGACCTGAACTCCACAAGGGAATGGGAGAATGACTGCTGAGCAGCACCTGCACGTTCCCCTCCAAGCCACACATTCCTGACTTGGAACTATATCACCACTCCTTCACAGTAGCTAGCTAAAAATCCTGGAACATTCTCCCTAATACCATACACCACACAGACTGCAGTGACTGAATACCACCTGCTCAACAGCAATAAAACATGAGTTTTAAATGATGCTTCACGATGCATATATTCCATAAAACAATAAAATGCTCATCCAATAAACAGAAAGGCACTGCGATTTTAGGATATATTTTAATAATACTTATATTGCTCTCGAAATGCAAGTAAAGAGAAAAATCTTTACGTATTGTATTTCACAACTTCATTACAACAGTGACTCAATGGGGTTTGTGATGTCGCACTGGAAACTTAGCAAAGTTGTGCAATGCATGTTCCCATAGGTAAAAACCGAAAGAACTGTGGATGTTGTAAATCAGGAATAAAAACAAAGTTGCTGGAAAAGTTCAACAGGTTTGGCAGCATCTGTCAAGGAAAAAACAAAGTCGACGTTTCAGGTCTGGTGACCCTTCCTCAGAATGGATGGTGGCTGGGAAAATGTCAGTTTATATGCAGAAAAAAGAGAGGAGGGGATGGGGTAGGGAGTAAACAATAGGATAGAGCCTAAAGAGAGAAAAGAGCAGTTGGACAGACAAACGAGTTGATAATGATCGGGTTGGGAGGGTGAAAAGTTATTAATGGGGACTATTAGTGACTAACAACAGGTGGTGTGTAATGGCAGGCTATGTGGTTACAAAGCCTGGTATGTGGGATAGGGGGCTCAGACATGGGAGTGTTTAGGCCCTAAAATTAGTGAAGTCGATATGGAGTCCAGAGGGCTGCAGGGTCCCCAAGCACAAAATGAGACGCTGTTCTTCCAGCTTGCATTGAGCTTCACTGGAACACTGTAGCGAGCCAGAGACAGAGACGTTGGCCACGGAACAGGGTGGTGTGTGAAAGTGGCAGGCAACAGGTAGTTCAGGGTCTTTTTTGCGAGCAGAACGTAGACGTTCTGCGAAGCGGTCACCCAGTCTACGCTTCATTTCCCCAATCAGAAGAGACCACATTGTGAGCAGCAGATGTGGCAGCACCTGTGTTGCCAGAACCTTCCACCTATATTTAAAGCCCAGCAGAGCACCATGTCAAATTCTGAAAGGCAGGAAGTGCCCTTCATTAGCTGCTGCTCCGCTATTTCTGGCAACCAGTTGTCATAGGAAGGCAACTGGCACTCTGCTTCAGAGTAGGGACCCAGATGTGCTGGTGGACAGGATGGTGGAGAGGAGGGCCATCTTCTTCCCCGTGCATTGGCAAAGGGCTTGTTCTCCACAAAAATAAGTGCCACCATCTTCTCTCTGTTTCTTCACACACACTATCTTTGTCACTGCACAGTAACAATCACTGAAGGTTAGACCAGAAGTCCACAACTCTCACAGTTGCATGGAACATCTCTACTTAATGATTCTCACCCACCTTATCCACCTGAGCTACCAACCTTTCCTGCCCTCTGCGCTTCCTACTCACATACCAGGGATAACTCACCACTTCTGCTGATCCTGCATCACCACTAACAGCTCTCCCATCTACTTCCATCTCATTCAATCCTTGCTTTGGTCTCATTGCAGGAGAAAAATGTCTCATATCCAGGTCAAAGATGGGAGTGGTTTAGCCAACATTCAGTCCCTCACCCTCCCAATGAGATTTTATTTGAGATGGTTGGATAGGATAGGGACCACTCCTGTGGGTTGCTGAGCCGTCCATAGTAGAGTAAGCTTCATAATGCTGTGCTGCTCTCTCATTACCACCATTGTTAGTTCATTCTTAAAACTTTCAAGGTTCTACCCTTATTGTGTTCAGCCTGAAGAGGCCAATGCCTCACCTGTAACTCCTACTCTACATTGTAGAAACAAGTTACATGTCCCTCTGAGAATGCCCAAGCTTAAAAACTTGGTAGGTTTTCCTTCTAGATTCGACTCAGGAACATAATCTGGTGAGTACAATATCATTGACATGTCTCCACAGCTGGTTGAGGAAGAAATAACCCAGGTCTCTGACATTCAGAGGACTGCCAGAGACCAGGCATCTGCTCAGCTCCAGGCAGAAGACGACCCATGTACTGGCCATTACTGACTTCATACAAATTGACAGTCTCAGGAACAGCAGGCAGGTATATCATAGGCAAACAGTAAACTGGCCTGAAGGCTGGAGGGATCAATCAATCTTATCAGCACCGTACTGGGGCTCCGGTCTGCATGTATCTAGAATCACACAGCAGGCATCCCAAAAGGTACCCCCTACCCCTTCAAAAGAAATTACTCCTTAGGCACTCCAGAGGTGCCAGCCCACTTTACCTCATCCTCCATCATGCAACCACCAAAACTGTAGAAGTTTCAGCCACGAAGGGTGAACCTATGTTTGGGCTGGCCGCTCTCAGGATATCTGCACCCACTAAATCAGACACACACATGGGCTCCAGCTAATGATTCTGGGACTGGACACTAATGCAGTGGGAATGCAAGGAAAAAAAAAATGCCATGACAGTACAATGGAAACATGGGTGACACATCGTTGTGAATACACTTTCACATCCGTGCATATATGTGCACTTTAAATCAACTGTCATTTTAGCTGTAAGACCTGTTTACATTGTTACCATTTCAGAGTTAAACAGCCTCTTCATACATGCCAAGGAGGCTGGAAGGTGTGTTTGTGTGACATTGCTAATCACCGAGAACCATCCTTAATAGCGTTGATTTGAAGGATCCTTCAACCCTTACGTTAACGAATGTAGCCAAGACTTACTAGATTAATAAAAGGAGATCATGGAGACCAAAGTTAATCTGAATGCCTTGCATCAGCGCCTTGCCTCCATTCATGTTCCAAATTTACTGCCACTTGTATAGTGACACTTCTCTGGAGACTAGGGTTCATTCTTAAAAAGGAGCACACATTCTAAGAATGGATGATGGCCAGTTGACACCCAAACTCTGCCTCTTTGTGCAGTGATGTCAATCCTGCCCCCAGAGACAAACAAAAATGCTTCCCCCATTCACTCTGTTACTGGCAGCCATTTTTGTTCCTCATTGTTCAGTTGCGATTTGGCTGAAGATGCAACACTCCTGTGCTGGAGCTTCAGGTTCCACATGTTCATCAAGATTCCCCCATTCCCCAGCATTCATATTCTGCTTTGCATTGCTGTCCACGTCAACCCCCCTCAGTTTTCAGGCTGTCTATATTCCCATCCAAATCTTTTATTTAATGGTTAATATCCTCAATTTTCTTCTCTCAGTCCTCAAATTATAGCACATATACGGTCAGGATAACTACCACCCCTGCTCCTATGCAGTATCAGATCTCACACTTTTATCTGGAGGTTCCCCCTTCATTGACATTATCCTTCCGGTGTCACAGCATCCCATCCTCAGACTCGAGTTTCCCACTTTCTGCTACACTGAATGGACAGCCCCGTTAACACCCTTCGATGTTTACTGCTCAATCCCTAGTATTGACCACTGGGCACCTTGTGAAGACGATCCTGACTGCTAATGTCCCAGCCCCCTGAATGAGGCATCCTCAGCATTCAGACTGACTTACCCATGATCCTTAGGCTAGGTGGATTTGACCTCCAGGATTGAATATGGCCAATCACTGAACTACAAGGACATGGACCATCATACTTAGGTTGCACTAAGCTCCTGACGGACCATGGCCAACCCCCAGTCTGAGGTCAGATAATGCTCTTGGCGAAGTATTGAAGCAACCCCTGACTGACAAGTTCTGCTTCTAGTCCCCTTAGACTTTGAAACATATGCAGTGTGGTTGCCAAAAGAGCTGCTGGCACATGCTGCAAGTGTGACATTGATGTAGCTTGGTACTGTACAGCAGTACATCC